GGGCCATGGGCCAAAGCAACAGTGTACCCAGCTCCACTTGTGCGGAGACAGAGTAAACAGCCACTTCCAGCAATAGCAGCCAGAGAGGCTGGGTGGCACACAGGCCAGGCACCTGGGTCTTGCCGCTCAGCTGCCTGCTCGGCCCTTTGCCAGGGAGTGACTTCACTTCTCTGAGCCTCAGTTTCTCCTTCCGTGAAATGTGGACAATAGCTGTCCCTATGGCTGCATTCACACACACAGCATTTAGCACCCGGCCAAGGACACATTTGCCACCTTATGACTAGTGACTGTGAGTGCATGGAGTGCTACAGAGAAGGGCCACGCGTGCTGGTGACAAAGGAGCTCAGCCTGTTTTAGGGGCCAGAAATGCCTTCTGAGGAAATGGCCTTTAAACTGAGACTCAGCAAATGGAGTGGTGGAGAGCGTACTCTGGCCAGAAGGAGCAGCACGGGCAAAGAGCCGGTGATCAGTCAACAAACAGTTGCTCTTGTCCTGTGGTAACCAGACTTTGAAGATGGCCCCAGAAAAATCCCTGGCTTGAAGATGCCTCTGTGGAACTCCCTCCCTTGAGTGTGCAGCCCACACTCAAGTCCTAGTGACTTGCTTATGATAGACTACTATAGAAGTGATGGCACGTTCCTTCCATGAGTAGGTGACAAAAGACCATGACTCCACCTGTTTTTTTTTTTTTTTAACTTCCCTATAATCCTGTGACTATTTGGGGCCATGTAATTAGGATCTCACACCTTGGACACCTCTTACATAAATGCAGTATCTCTACCTTTCACTAAGGACGAATGACTAAATGTCTGTCTCTCTTGTTGGCATCCTCTCTGGCCCTCCTACTTGTCCACTGTTGTGAGTTGCTCTGTGGAGAGGTGAGGACCTGAGGGACGCTTCCAGCCATCAGCTTATGCTTGGTACAACCGCCCACAAGAAAGAAATCCTGCCAAGAACCGTGTGAGGGAGCTCTGACACGATCCTGTCCCATTTGTCCCCTGGGATGACCAACCCTGGTTGGCACACTGATTCTCTTTGCTGCATGGCTGTGTGGCCCAACCTGACCCAATCACTGTGCCCAGGGATGTGAACTGCCAGGAAGCTCATGCTTGGGCCCTACTCTATTGAAACCTTATGGACTAAGAGACTGGAGGGTGACTCTCTAAGGATAGCATTGCAGGGGAAGAATGAATGAATGGATCCTCCTCAGCAATTACAATCAAAATCACCTCCCTCATTCTAGATGACATAATTCTACTAATGCAGGCCAGGATCACACCACTGCCTTTCACTGATGACTCATACCAGTGATTCAGGGGAATGTTTTCCTTACCTAGTGCTGCTTCCCTACTGTGTCAGGGATATGAACATTTGGAAGTTCTCCCTCTCCACCTCTATCTCAAGCACAGGAAGGCTTTTGGTGGCACAGAAATGAGCAAAGCTAGGCTTGTGTCCCTCCACCTTCCCTGATTCAGCATCCCTCCCTCCCCTCACAGAGTCAGATCCAAGGGAGACAGTTTACCATAGTAGCAAATTTTGCTGCCAAAGTTTTTGCTGGGCACAAACCCAGAGTGAGACTCAATACTTTTCAGGGCAAAGCAAGTCCCGTTGTCTCTTCATAGACTTGTGCCCTTTCCTCGAGTGGATTGTGACCATCTGATTTATTAGAGACCAGAGGTTTGTATATAACATGTGGGATATGTGAACAACAAAATCTGGCCAGTGCCCAAACAGAGCCACAACACGTAGGGATTCCTACCCTCTTGGCTCTAAACTCAGAGGATAAGCCAGGCATGGTAATATCTGCCTATAATCCCAGCAGCCACGCGGCTGAGGCAGGAGTATCAAAAGTTCAAGACCAGCTTGGGCTCCAAATGGAGACCCGGCCTCAAAAATGAAAGAAAAAGAAGAAGGGAGGAAAAAGAAAAGAAAAGAAATGCTGATGGCTCATGCCTGTAATCCTAGCTACTCAGGAGGCAGAGATCAGGAGGGTTGAGGTTTGAAGCCAGCCCTGGCAAATAGTTTTCTAGACCCTATCTTGAAAATAACCAACACAAAACAGGGCTGGTGGAGTGGTTCAAATGGTAGATCGCCTGCCTGGCAAGTGTAAGAGCCTGAGTTAATCCCAGTTCTGCCAAAAAAAGAAAGACAAGAAAAATCAAAGAATGTTTGGATGTGACTCTTCAATTCTGAGGCAGGCTAAAATAATAGGAAGAGATGCCATGGGCTCCTTAGAACCCATGTAACTTATTCTCCGCACATTTCATGCCAAACTCCTTATCTCAGCCCAATGATGTCCTTTGCTATTGTAATGTAAGACAAAAAGCCTTGGGGTGATTCAGCCGTCCATGATCACTCAGACAAAAACATGAATATTGATCACACCTCATGTATATGATTAAAATGCCTACAGCTTAAGTATATGAGCAGAGTAACTGTCAATCACCCACCCACTGGGACCACCCAAACCCCTCCCCACTCCCTGATTATTGGTGATCAAAAACTGACTAGGCAGTTGATAAAAGATATGAATTGTAGAGAAAATGACATCAAGAAATACAAAATTCAGCCAGATGCTGGTGGCTCACACCTGTAATCCTTGCTACTCAGGAGGCAGAGATCAGGAGGACTGAGGTTTGAAGCCAGCCAAGGCAAATAGTTCTCAAGACCCTATCTTGAAAAAACCCATCCCAAAAAAGTAGTTGATGGAGTGGCTCAAGGTATAGTCCCTGAGTTCAAGCCCCAGTACTGCAAAAAACAAAACAAAACAAAAAAACCTACCCAGGTTTCTCCCCTCCTGCAGGCTATCCTGGTTTTAAATACCTTGACACAGAGAGCACTCTCTCTGCTCTTTCCTGTTTCCATCCCACCTGGCCAGATGGAGCCCCTCCATTGCTTCTTGTAATGCCTTTCCCTTCACTTTTAATAAACTCTATTACCTCCCTTACATCATCCACGTGTCTTTTCCTGGATACCTCCATGCTGGATACAAAGAATTTGCAAATCTTGTGATCAGAGACTAAATGACCCTACAGTCAGTACAAGCTGATCCTTTGACAGGTGAATATACTGAGGCTCTGAAGGTCACTGAGCAAGTGAGCACAGAGTATCCATCAGAATTTAGTCCTTCTGACAGCTCATTCTCCTGCCCTGCTGGGTGTTTTTTACCTGAGTGAGCACCAGGCCTCAGGGTAATGAAAACTTTTTTATTTTGTAATCAGAACCCTAATGGGAGATGGATGGGAGGTGGGAAGGGAGGAAGAGAGCAGGGAATTCACTGGACAATTTTTTTTTTCCTTTTGTAGCTCTGGGGATAGAACCCAGGACCTGCTAGGCAAGCACACAACCCTTGAGTTACATTCCCAGCCCTTCTTCTTTTTTTGACACAAGGTTTCACTATGGAGTCCAGACTGGTCTCCAACTCGAAATCCTCCTGCCTCTGCCTCCCCCTCAAGAGCTAGGATTACAGGTTTGTTGCACCTGGCTGACAAGTGTTTATGAAATGCCTACTGCAAAGATGGCCCTGTGCTAGAGGCTGGTGACACTGCTCTCTGATTTTTCAGTGCTGGAATGGGGTGAGGAGGGCACAGAAGTCAATCAATCAAGGATCACTAGGGGCGTGGCTCAAGAGCAAGGCCCTCAGTTCAAAAAAACCCAGTGCTGGAAAAAAAAAAAAAGGAAAGAAATCAATCGAGGATCATACAAACTCATACACATGGAAAGTATGAAAAGTGCTAGGAAGGATAAGGACAGGATGTTTGCCACTATATTCTATGGGCATCCACGGGAATGGGGTCAGAAGGGCTTCAGGAGGAAGTGACATTTGAGTTGGGAAAACATTTCCAGAGCAGCTTACAGTAAGAGCCAAAAGGACAGCCCGTCCTCTCACCCCCAACACCTCAATGAACTCTTGCCTGCCAGGAAGCTTCCAGTAACCGTTTCCTGCGTCCTGGGATGACACACTTGGGGCAGTCCAAGGGTTATGATCTAAGTCTGTTATGCGGCAGCCAGACATGTGCAGGCCGGGAAGCAGGATGCGCCTCCTGGGAGAGGAATTTGGATGCCATCTCGGCTCTTCCCCTCAGCATCCACAGGGGAAGAAAGTTCGCAGTGGGGTTTTCCCTCCAAGTGTGCCAAGGCAGCGCCACCGTCAACACAACTGCTTGGCATTCCCTGCCTGGCAAACACCTTCTCACCTTCAGGCCCTGGCTGGACTGAGCTCCCCTCCATCCTAGCAGAGACCCTACAGCACTTTTCCCTGTTCAGCTCTAGGGCCATTCCAGGAATATGAGTTTCCGGAGCACAAGGCTTGATGTTTCCCCGTCCCTGCAGATCTGAATCAACACTCTGTGACCTGGGGCAAGTTACTTCACCAGTCTGTGTCTCCATCGCTTCCTCTCTAAAATGAGGATAATGGGTGGTCCTTACCCAATGGGTTGTTACAGGATTAAAAGAGATCTTACACGTAGTGCATTTGCTACAGTCCCCATGGTTTACTAAAGTACTCAACAAACAGTGTAGGTTTGTCATCCACGAGAGTTTAACATGACTAAGCGTGGACTGGTACTTTTTGGTAACCTGTCCGCACTTGCAATCGAGTTTTCCTGATAGCAGGATCCCAAAGACCTGCTCTCATCCAGGCTGGGACGCGGAACAGCGAGTAGAAAGCCGTGCTCAGGGGGCGGGGCGCGGCAGGGGACTTGGCGCACGTCACCACGGTCGGCACACGGCGTTCTCGCTCTGCACCCAGCTCCTTGCGCGCCAAGACAGCCCGGGCGCGCACGTGGGGCGGGTTCTGGGAATCGGCGCCCCCGCGGCCGGTGTGCAGAGCCTGGTGCGCTCGGCCCCGTGTGCCGCGCGAAGCGCGATGTGACTCAGCCGGGGGGGGGGGGGTGTGCACGCGGCACCTGGACCAGCCCGGGCGGAGCTTTTGCGCTCGACGCGGCTCCTGGGTGCTTTAAAAGCCGGACGCCAGGCTCCCTGCGCCACCACGCCTCCTCCGAGTTCCAGCCCCTTTGCGCGCGTCTGTCTTCGCACTCCAGTTCTATTCGGTTCACCATGGATCCCAACTGCTCCTGTGCTACCGGTATGGGGGACTAGGGGAGGGCGTTTCTGGCTTTTTAAATTTTTTTTTTTAAGCTTACCCGATTTCAGGAAAGCATCTTAGTGTCTGGCTGTATTCCAGGTCCGAGCCCCTTTTGCTAATGGGCCGTTGAGTTAGTGGCTTGTCCCAGCTCCCACGAGTTATTTGTGTACGGAGGGATTGCACCTGAGCCCCTAGCATGCAGCTCTGCGTGCACGTATCAGGATCGCTCTAACTTCCCTCTTTGCAGATGGACCCTGCGCCTGCGCCGGCTCCTGCAAATGCAAAGAGTGCAAGTGCACCTCCTGTAAGAAGAGTGAGTACGGTCCGCGCTGCCCTTTCCTCCTCACCGCCCCCAGCCCTTGCCTAGCCGCTACACCAGGGTGCCCGAGCTCGTGCTGATCCCGATTCGGGAGGGTGAGAATTCTTGCTCCTTTCTTCCTAGTGCTCATCATCTCTCTCTGTCCCCAGGCTGCTGCTCCTGCTGCCCTGTGGGCTGTGCCAAGTGTGCCCAGGGCTGTGTCTGCAAAGAGGCATCTGACAAGTGCAGCTGCTGTGCCTGATGTGGGGAAAATCCTGCTCCCACGTGTGAATACTACTCACTGTACAAACCCTTGTTTTTGTTTTTTACAATCCTGACCCGTTTGGTACATTCCTTTCTGTGAAGTATGTGACTGATAATAAAAACTGTTGGTTGGCTTGATTCAGACACTGGTTTTTTTAGTGTGAGTTGAAAATAAAGGAACTGAACTGGGAGTGCAGGGACCTGGGGCACCAGCGTACCCAGGCAAGCTAAGTCACCTCACTGGGCTCCATTTTCCCCTGAAATAGAACTTGAAGGGTGGGGCAAACAGAATCCCCTTCACACAGAAACTTCTCTATCCATAGTTTTCATCCTCTAGTTTCTCTTTCCAACTACAGTAACTCTTCGAGTCTTACGCTTAAAAGGGGTGGGGGAGTGGAGGGGTACACTCCTGTATCTCGGTACTCCGGTCGCTGAAGCAGGAGGATGGAGAATTCTAGGCCAGCCTGGGTTACCTGTGAGACTGTCTTAAAACCAAAAAAAAGTGACTACAGGTGTGAAATGCAACTGCAGTTGCTTGAATCTTACATAGAGCTCAAATTCCCAGGTGTGAGTGAGTAAACTTACCAGTCACAGACTAAACTTTGGTTTAAAAAGTTAAGGCTTTGTGGGGGCGGGGGGACTCAAATGGAGCTGGGCCTCAAGTTGCACACCTAATCTCCAGCAAAGGAAAGAGGAGACAGGCTGTAGCTTAAGGCCGGCCTGAGCTATATATCCTAAATACAAAACTTTCCTTTTGGTGGGTTTGGGGTTTGAACTCGGGGCTTCTCACTTCCAAAGCAGGTGCTCTACCACTTGAGCCACACCTCCAGCCTAGCTTGCCCTGGTTATTTTTGCAGATGGGATCTCAAACTGTTTTTCCAGGTTGGCCTCAAACTGAGCTCCTCCTGATCTTAGCCTCTTAAGTAGCTAGAATTATAGAGTTGAGCCACTGGTGCCTGGTCAAAAACCCAGTTTCCTTTATTTTTTAGTGGTGCTGGGGCTTGAACTCGGGGCCTTCACCTTGAGCCACTCCACCAGCCCTTTTTTGTAATGAGTGGTTTCTAGATAGGGTCTCACAATCTATTTGCCCAGGCTGGTTTTGAACCACAGTCCTCCTGAGTAGCTAGGATTGCAGGCGTTAGTCACTGGCTCTGGCTTATATGACTAACTTTTTAGTAACAATTCATAAAATAATGGCTTACACGCCAAAACCCATCTCCAAGATCTGCTAGTCCATTTCAGAAGTTGTACCTAGTAAAGGCCTTGCTGACAGCCACCAAACCAGCCCTTCCAGCCCCCAGCCCAGCTGGCCAAGCAGCCCCGTCTAATCTACTCCTCTCAGAGTCTTGCCTTGAGCCACCAGCGCCTGGCTTAAAAACCCAATTTTTTGATTCAAGAAAACTTAAACATTTGAAGAAAATAAAAATGAGAAAAGTATACATTTATACGAGTATGTGTACTGCAGACTGGAAAGGATCACATGGCTCATTGGGCTGGCAAGGAACCCTCAGTCTTGGGCAGGACAAGGACACTGACAGGAAGCTCCTCATCCCTGAGAGCTCCCTGTTGTGACTTGGCTGTGAATCTTTGGAAGTTGAATCTTTGGAAGTTCCTAAGGTCAGGCTGATTCCAGTCCCTGATTACTTCAAACTTGCAAAGTGGCTGGGTTTGCAGGGACTCAGCATAAGGTGGATGGACAGGAGCCCCAATCCAAAAGAACTTTCAGTTCGCCCCTGCAGACCTGGATGAGGTGGAGTCTGCAGTTTGGAGGGGTGGTGGTGTTTGTTAGGAAGAAGTGAGGTTCTGGGTGACTTGTAATTAAAATCAACAGTTAGTGCCTCTGGCTGTTGAGCTAATGCTATTTGATGTTCAAAGAGGACAGTAAGTCCCTTGGCCAGGAGTCAGGACCAATCTTGCCCTCTGTTCTATTTTCCATGAGAAAAGGGAACTTCAAAGGGTTGCCTGTGCCAAGTGCATGGGTTTTAGTGTCAGGTAATCTTGGTTCACAGCCCATTTCACCTCTTACTAGCCATGTGGTCTGGGCAAGTCACTGAATCTCTTTGAGCCTCCAGTTCTGTCACCAGACTGAGCCCTGAAATTACCATTGTTTTGTCACTCATGTGCCACTCGTGCAGAAGTTAAAGCCTGGCTGCTGATAGCCCCCAGCTGCCAACCATCAAATTATCACATATTCATGCCTGTAATCCTAGCTGGGGTTGGGGGGAACGGGGTGGGGTGGGGAAGTGGCAAGAGATCAGGAGGATCACAGTTTGAAGCCAGCCTGGGGAAATTTGTTTGTGAGACCCTATCTTGAAAAAAATCCATCACAAAAAATGGCTGATGGAGTGGCTTAAGGTATAGGCCCTGAGTTCAAACCCCAGTACTGATAGATAAATAAATAAGTGGCCTGGTTCCTGGCTTGGCTTAGTAAACAGTGACAACTATGATCATTCTGTTCACAAAGGCTTTTGTTTTTTGGATACCGGCTCAGACTGACCTCAAACTCAGGATCTTCTGCCTCAGCTCCCAAGTGCTGGGTTTACAGGTATGCACCACCACACCAAGCTCCACATGGACTTTCTGGAGAGAGACTCCTCTCTCAACAAGCTCAGAGCAAAGACCTGGCTGGGAAGGATGAGTGGAGAGTAGGGAAGTGTGGTTGACCTGCACAAAGTCCTCTTTGATATGATGATGCCATAGCATTCTGACAAACACAAAAGGCTTGCCAACTTTTCGTATCATTTGAACTTCCTGTGGCCTCATGAGAGAGTGAAAGAGCAGGGGCTGGAGTAACGGTGTTATCTTTCTGAGTGGCTAAGCAACCTGCCCAAGGTTACTCAGCTCAGAAGTCAGAGGCCTGGCAACTGGTGCAGATGGCAGATTAGAAAAATGGGCTTATTACACCATCTCCCCTCCCCCTTCTTCTCTTTTGGTGGGACTGGGGTTTGAACTCGGAGCTTCACACTTACAAAGCAGATGCTCTACCACTTGAGCCACTCTGACAGCCCCTTTTTGTGTTGGGTGTTTTAGAAATAGGGTCTCACAAACTATGATCCTCCTGATCTCAGCTTCCCAAGTAGCTAGGACTACAGGCACCAGCTACCAGCACCCAGCTCTATCTCCTCTTTAATGTTGGGTGGTTACAATTAAATAGAGAGGAGGCGGCCTGACACAGGCCAAATGTTATGTAATAGGAATATTGGCAGGGAAATAACCACATTTCCTGCTTTATTTATATAGGGTCTGCATATGACCTACAATGATTCTTCCCTTGGAGGAATCTCCCATTTTCAGAACTGCCATCCTGGGGGTGGGTGGGCCAGGATAGGCTGTTGGCAGCCTGGAGAATTTTATGCAAAGGAGGATGGATAAGGTGGCCATATATCTCCTTAGATCGGGAGGATGGAAGGAACAGAGGCAGGTCCATGTTCACCTGTTTTGGTGCACAGTATGAATTGACTGAGGTGGAGACAATTACAGGCAACAGGGGAAGGGAAAGTCACATCCACGCTAGTCTTTGCTCAAAATTCCCTTGCTCTCTGCTCCCGCCAGCACTGATCCAGCCTGGGGCTGCACACTGATTCAGGATCCTCTGGGACAACCAAGATGTCCCTGGGTCCAGTTCCAGGAAAATTCGGGGATGGTAGGGTGGCGGCAGCAATCCTGGAGAAATTGGGAAGAGCCTGAGGGACTGCAGGAACATAGGACGTGGAAAGACAGCCTTGGCACAAGATCGGTCATCCAAAGGGTCAGGTCTGCCCTTGCGCACAGAGCGATGCTCCAGGAATCCTGCCTCAGGCCAAGAAAGTAACAGACACTCCTGAAACCAGCTTTGGCTGGCATTACATCACATTTAATACCTATTGTGGCTGAAAAGGACTCATTTACTTTGTAGTTCTCTCATATTCTCTCTCTCTCTCTCTCTCTCTCCCCTCTTCTCTCTTTTACTTTTTTTTGAGGGGGAGGGGTACTGGGGTTTGAACTCAGGCTCCATGCTTGCCAGGCAGGCTCTCTACCATTTAAGCCACTTCATCAGCTCTTTTTGTTTGGTTATTTTTGAGATAGGGTCTTGCTTTTTGCCCAGGATATTGATTGAACTGAGATCATCTGATTTTAAGCTTCTGGTCATGGCTGGAATGACAGGTGTGTCCCTGCACCCAGCTATTGGTTGAGATGTGGGTCTGGAGAAGTTTTTGACTGGGTGGCCTCGGACTGCCACCCTTCCAATCTCAGTTTCCCAAGTAGCTAGGATTTTAGGATGAGCCACTGGTCTCTGGCCAGTGCCTTCCAGCAGCTCCCAAGTCAGAGGCAAGGGTACCCAGACTTATCATGTCTACTCCATGTCACCCAAACAGCTGGGGCTCTGTCAGTTTCCACATAAAATAAAGGCTCTGCTTTGAAAGAAACAAGAAAATGAGTTTATTTTGGGTCAAATATGAGTGTCCATGGTCAGGGAACAGGTATTCAAGTTACCCCGAATGACATGCTTCGAGGTGGAAGTGATTACAGTGATACGGACAGTTTTAGTCAAGAACAAAAGCAAGTCATAAATCAGTACATTTACTGAATATCTTGATGTGGCATCAGGTAGGACACTAGAGCAGAGCAAGTTTCCACGTTACCTCATGGCATCTTAGCATTAAGGCTGATGATGCTAGAGCTCTGCTAAACTTAGCAATACATTCCAAGAGTTTTACCTACTAGTCACGAGGAGGTCAGGTCAGACACAAAAGTTAAGATAAATGGCTTAGCAGCCGAAGGGCCAAAGACAGCCCAATATGATATTGGTTCTACCTTCAATGATGATGTTCTAGCCAGACTTTAATATAGATGTGACTTCTTAAGAAATTGCACTTCATACTAGCCTTTGAGGTGCCTGTACCAAAGGGGAGACCAGTGTCATTCCTCTTCTGGTTCAGGACCTAGAAGACCTATCCTAGCCTGTGGGGAGAGAAGTAGAGCTGCTACTCATTGTGCCCTGAGTGGGACAGGTCTGGTCCTGAGCTGGTAGAATGGCAACTGAGCTCTGTGTCTCCTGCGTCTCTCTGTAGCTCATTGCTGTCTTCTCCTCCTCACAGGAGGCTCCTGCACCTGTGCTACCTCCTGCAGCTGCCAAGAATGCAAAAGCA